GATTAATTCTGCATTGTTCCCTCAGAAAGCAAGCAAGCAAGCACAAATTTTGTACAGAATGACAAAAATGTCCTCTTTTGTACAACTCTGAATGGGTTTAATGTCATTCTGACCTTTTGTAAACTATTTAAAAGGAGAACAACTGAAGCCATCGCCAAAGATCACATCTCACAAAGTTCCCTTAAAACGAATACAATCTCACGGCTGAAAGAAGCATTTGCTTTCGCTGTTGGTCAAAGCAAGCATGTGCCTGTCTCAGACTCCTCCATTATCCTCACATGTCCAGAGACGGCGCTTAGATCACTGTTGACCTGCGCTGAACCCTCGCAAGCAAATTAAACTGAGGCATGTTACGCCACGACAACATGACCTTTGTTTTAAGGCCATGGAATCCTGGGTTATTAAGTGAAATTGATAATGAATGTTTTTAAGAACCGCAGTTCCAACCTATAATTAAAAAACTTCAGTAAGACCTCAGTTTATTGGTTTAATGGGCGAAACCAGTTCACACGAATTATCCTATTCGTTATACAGAAATCTGAGCAGATCATTGCAAAATTAAGTTCCTTATGCAATGCATTTGAATAGATTGTTCTCATCCAAAACAAACTCAAGAACATGCATGCAATAAATTTTCATGAATTAATGGTGAAGTGCATGTGACCACCAAACAGATTTGCAAAAGTAACTAAAAGAAAGAAAACTTTGAGTTTTGGATTAACAAAGCCGTTTATTGATTTGAAGTATGAAGGTTTTTTTACTGTAGACCTTGTAGTTTGAGTACTTAGCCAATAGGAATAGAGTCAGTTTGAATTTTCAATGGGATTTTAATCTAACATTTTGTGTCTCTAGTAGCAGTGAAATTAATCTCTAAGTAAAATATACAGGCTTGGCCTGAATCATTCAAATGCATCCAGTACTGAACTCTTATCACTATGAACGCTATTCTTCTGATTGGTGTTAAACAGACCTGTTGGCTTCTTGTTAGGTGACAACATGATTAAATCACATCTGTTCACGTAACACCCAGAGTCACTTAAGTCGAGTTAAGCTATTGGGTTACAAGGAGTTCTGGTTTTTATGAATGATAAATGACGCAAGCAGTGGGTTTAACACATAATTTGATGCTCTTCTTTTGCCATCTAGAGGTCATCTGAATAATCAACAAAAGAGCTGCAAAGCTGGTTTCACCTCTGTAACTGAGTCTTTTCATAACTGCTCAACAAAACAGGCTTTTCGGTTGTTTATCTCTTTTGTCATGTAAAGGTTGCAGAACATCCCACAGTCCTACATACATATATATCACATGTATTGTCCAGTAATGTATGTGTTATTTATTCAGACCTTCATGTTTGAAAGGCTTTTTCTGAATGTTCTGTTCTGTTTTTGAATTTGAATTTGAAACCACATTTAATATGAAAATTCATACAAGAAGGGAAAACTACTTGGATATGTTGATGAAGATTATGACACACTGAAATGAAATGTTTATTTATATCTAGATTTCTATTAATTTAATTATTTATTTGTCTTGCACTGTAACCTACACATTTCTCTACAATTTACTATGGATTTTGTATATTATATATATTGTACATATAAACGTATAGCCTAAAGTTATCATTTCAATTATATATTTGTGTTTATTGTTTGCGTAATATTCTTAATAGATTTGATAAAAATCCAAATATAAAATGTTATACACAAAATATCTAAATCCAAGGAAAACATTTTTTAAAGTATTTATGTGAATATATACAGTGTGTGTGTGTGTATATATATATATAGTCACATACCCCTTAACTGTCACCCCCCCCATTTTTTTAAATAGGCATGCAGGTGCACTATCCAAACTTAAATTGTTGTAATTTATGAAACACTTTGGAATACAGACATAAGTTTGGTCTCTTTTTAAAGAAGAAAATCAGCAGATTATCGCAAAAGTGGAATTTAAAAGAAAATTTAAGTATCAAAAAGTTATAGAAGTTTAAATTTACTGCACTATATAAATTTTATTAAATTTTATATATAATAAATATTTTACATAACAGGTTTTACTCTAAAATTTGGTATAAAATTAAAGCC